CATTCTCTATGAGGTTTTCTAATCTATGATACACAACTTATTGTTGGCGAACATGTAATCTTATTTTATTAATTCTCTAGTCTTATTACTTATCAGTTGATGATTATACTATTGCTGCTCTATTATTATACGTCGATATAGTCATACTCTTTTTGAAAATATTAGAAATTTTGTTGTATATTTTTGGAAAAAGGTGAATTTTAAAATTCACAATCAATAATGTATTATTCTTTGCAAATTCCTTTCCTTATTAGAAAATCTATATATTATTTTACTGATTTCTGAAAATTGCCATAATTATTTAATATATCAATTTAATAAAATGGGATAATAATAATATCTTTTCAATTTTATATTATTTATAATCAATAAATCTTTTATTTATGATTACTCTTCTAAATTAGTTTACAACATTAACAATCATATTTAAACTACATTTAAAATGATTTACATAAAATAAACTTTGTAAAAATTACACTTTAACCATAGGATCATATTACTTTGATTATAAATTGTTATTTTGATAATATCTATAGAGTTTGTTTTATTATGAATATATCTGAGATGAAATTGGCAATAATTATTTTAATGTAAAAAAGTAAAAATACTAATAAATTTATTATATTAATAAATATATAGATAATATTTAAATTCAAGATGCTGGCTTTTATTCAGACAATTCTTACTCTTTAACATCAAAACTTTGATTATAAGGGGCAGTTGAATCAACAATTTTTTTTTTCCATGCTAAAAAGGATATCTTGTGACCCCATTTTTTGAAGCATACATACATAAATATAATAAGCCAAACAATGATTACAAATAAAACATAAATTGCAATAGTATAATAAGCATATGCATAATAATTACCAGGAATCTAATATATAATTAATATATACTTCAGTTGTTGTAAATGTAAAGGAATGAGTTATATTACAGAGTGTAAATTATGATTGCCAGAGATTAAGTGTTTCTTCTTTTCCTTTACAATTAGTAGAATTTAATAGAACAAAATATTAATTAACATCAGCATCTGGGAACGTACATTCTACAATAGGATGATTCATTCTAATAGTTAGGTATTTAAATTCATATCTGGCAATACCTACTAATAGTCTAATATTAATATTTTCTTATTCTTCATATTAATATTCTTTGACTTTAAATAAATCTGGATCTTGAAATGAGGTATGGGATAATAATTTTTCATTTAAGAAACCTTGAGATAGTATATATAGAAATACCTGAATAGATAGAATGTTGAACAATTTTATGTCCATCATCTCCAATTAAGACAGCATAATATTAAAATACATTGACATCATTAATTGTCATTTCATCTATATAATAATTATTGAAAAAGTAATCACCATTTACAAAATCAACAAATACTTCAACAGCAAAATCCTAATTATTAACAGTTTTAGCAACAATAAAGAATGTACTATCAAAATGATCAAAACTCTTAGTTTTTGAGATAGTAATTGTAAAGAGATAATTAATTTATCCATTATCAAGATTATAAATTTTATAGAATCTAAGTCCAGTTTCTTTGTCTAAAACATATAATCGATCATCTCCATTTGAATCTACATCAATGACTTATCCGTAGGGTATACCCAATTAAGTAGTTGAGATTGAAGATACAAATATTAATTAATTTTTATCTATTTTATAGACATCTAAACCTTCATGACCACAAGCAACATAAATTAACTTATGTTTTTCATTAAAATGAACATTAAATATGTAATTTTTTTTTCTGACTTCAGTTTCTAATTTAAATTAAGCTAGTGCTAATTAAGAATTAGTATTAAAACTAGCTCCACCATTAGCAGTAATAATGAAAACTCTATTTTCACCTAAATCATCAATAAGAAAGGGATGGTTAAAATCATCATCAGGATTATAATCTAACAATTCGGCAAATGATTATTATTAACTATCTAAGCTAATACCATAAAATCCTTTATCTAAATTTATAGAGAATATTTTAAAATCATTTCTTGCAATATAAACTCTATAAGAACTCTCAGATGTAGCAAGATCTGTAAAATATATATCTCTAGTCACTCCTGTTTTATCTAACCATAATTTTAATTAATAAGTGATTTCTATATTTTATTGTATTGCATAACATCCATATTCACCAATAGAATCTTCTTCTACTTTTTCAAAATCATCTAGATTATAGCTTTGATTTCCAATATTTCCATTCACCCGTTTATGTAAATCAATAGCAAACACTCCTGGGTATCTATATAAAATGTATCAATAATGAAAAATACGCTCCATATTGTATAGATAACTTTTCTTAAGCCTAACGAGTGTAATTACCAGATTCAATAGTTTCATTGATATATCTAGTGGAAGGTTATTAAATTTATTTAGCTTGGATGTAGAGTATAAGGAATATACACAATACCATTTATAAAATAATAATAATAATAATAATTAATCAATGCTTTCTATTTTAATAAAATTTGGTTATTTTTTGTACATTAGGTATTTCACTAATAGATTCTTCATCTTCTTCTTAAATTTATTCACAAGGTAAAATTTTTTTATGATTAGTACTAATTTAATCAGTAGTAGTTCCTTTTAATTATTTTTTAATAGTTGAGAATTCACTAGCTAATTCACTTTATCCATCATTAATATCTTCATAAGGTTTAATTTTACAATCAGACACACACCAATCAAAACAATAAGGTTCTAATATAATTAATATATATATATATATAATTTTACTATGCTTATTAAATACTTCTTTACAAAGTTCTTTCATTTTTGAATAATTAGGTTATTCATCAAATCTTAGACCTTTAGAATGATCATATATTTTTTTAAGAATAGGAGGAATATTAATATCTAATTAACCGGATGCAAATTTTTATTTAGCATCAAGAATCTTTTAAAACTTTTCTTGTCTGGTTTGACAATTAAAATTTTACCATGGTAATTATCCATTATATAGATATAGTAATACATAACACATAGCTTCTAAATCATCTCTTCTACTTTATTCAGCACCAAGATGGGAATTTATACTAGTATATCTGGCAGTTCCAACCATTCCTTTATTATCTGCCTGTTAGATATGAATGCCTTTATTATTGTATTTAAAAACCTTAGGCATCAACAAATGGTTTGGCTAAACCAAAATCAATTAAATAAACAGTATGATGATCACCAAAACTACCTACCAAGAAATTTTCAGGTTTTATATCTCTATGTACATACTTTCTTTCATGAACAGCTTCAATAACTTAGATTAAACAATAGGCTAATCTAATAATACAAGTTTCAGAGAACTTTTCATTTATTTACTTTTTTCTTAATTCTTCTAGATTTCCTAAAATAATAATAATAATATTATATATACCTGATCCATAATAAGGCATCATTATTAATTTGTAATCTTACTGTTAAATTAATTGATAAGGTTAAGGTACTTATGGTATTCCTTTTAATTATTAGAATGTATTATATTCTTTAACTAGTAATGATTATTAATTTTATTATCTAGTATCTTTAAACTCAACTTTGCAAGCATGTAAAGTGCGAGTTAAAGTATTGTAAATTTTGTAAATTTCACCAAAACTCCCTTGACCTGCTTTTTCAACTAATTAATATTCAACTGGTAATTCAATTTATGGACTCACTACTTTTTTGACTGGATATTCACTTTAGAATTTAACTCTTGGTAAAGTTGTATACATAATATTTATAATAATATATATATATAAATAATAATGTAATCATATAATCCTGCTGTCTCTCATAAAAGAAAAGAAAGAGATATTGCTAAACTAATGATGTCTAATTATCATGTAGAATAATGTGCTTAAAACCCATACAATTTTAAAGTCAATATCAATGGGTAATATAATAAATGCAATAATTATAAAGTCCTTCTGATTCCCTCTATGCTGGTGGAGTCTATACAATAAATGTTTTACTACCAGAACAATATCCTTATAAATCTCCAAGTATTGGTTTCCTTACTAAGATATTCCATCCAAATATTGATGAAGCGTACACTCTATTATCAATTATCTTAGTTCTGGTTCTGTTTGTCTTGATGTTATCAATTAAGCATGGTCACCTATGTATGATCTCATGAACGTTTTTGAAGTCTTCTTACCTTAATTACTTAATTACCCTAATCCTAGTGATCCACTTAATCCAGATGCTGCAAGTCTATTTATTAGAGATAAATTAAGGTATTCTATTTCATTTCTTCCTAGATATGAAAAGAAAGTTAAGGACATGGTTCTTAAATATGCTACCAAACACAACTAGGAAGTTTAAAATATAGAAATTATAAAAGAATCTAAATAAGATGATGAAGATAATGTTTCACTAATCTCCCTAGATGATGTGTCCCAACTATCAGAACACTCCTATGGACATGCTGAAATTCATAGTATGTTTTGAATCTTATTAATATTAATTTTATCATTTATCTATTCTTTAAACATAACAAATAGTATTAAATATATGCTCAAATCATGTTATTTTAAATAATCTCTTATTTTATTATTTATAACTTAATTGTTTTCCAAAAGTCAAGCTCACTTAATTGCACTGCTTTTATTTATCTATTAAACATCCATCTTATTAAATATTATATATTATATTATTATTTATCTTTTCTATCCTTAAATATTTCTTATTTTATACTTTTTCATTCCAATATTTATTTATTATTCAAAATTTTAATTATTTCATTATATACCTATATATTATATTTAATCTTAATAATCTAATATTATTCAATATAGTTCATGAATAAAGCATCCTCTACATTCATTAATTCTCAAAAATAATAATTTTAATTATCCATCTTTAATTCTATTTTTATTAAACGGTTATCTGAATTCCAATTGTTCAATAAAAATAATTATTTTCCTTCATAATTTTTTATTATTAAATAAAATCTATATAATAAATAAATTCTAATTCTTTTTATTTTGAAATTAAATCTAATTAAAAAATAACAATAAATAATGAGGATCTATTAATGCACTAAGATTTTTATCCTCACATTAAATCAAAAGCTATTCAAATCTAATCTACTCTAAATCATAAGTATTTCTCTACTATTAAAATTATATCTATTAATCATAAAATTACAAATGATTCTAAAACTAATGAATGAATATGAATCAAATCTACCTTAAGGTTATAAAATTATTAAGGTGTGGAGGATTTATTGAAGTAAATTTTAATAAATTTTGTTCATGATTCGTAAATAAAGTAATAATACTTTTGGATCTTATTTCCTATTAATCATTTACAAACAAAGTATAGATTTCTAGATAGTTCAGAAATTCACCCAAACCCTAAACGCTTGCAGAGCAATAATTTATATTAAAATTAATTTTTAAGTCTATTTATTTAAATTCAAAGTATCTAAATTAATTTTTATTCCAATTTTTTGTTGAAAGTAAAGTAAAGTAAAGTAAAGTAAATTAAATTAAAATAAATTGTTAAAATTTATGTAACAATTTTAGCAAATTCAAATAGGTGATGATTTATAATTTCATTTTTGGAATATGTTTCTTTATATTTATATTGAACTATGTTAAATAAATTATTATTGAGTTAGATTTGAAATATTGTACCTTTTTATCTATTATTCTAGATTAACAGTTATATTTGATGAATTTGAATTTAAATTAAAACAAACATTAGCATATATTTAGTTTTGATTAGACATAAAAAAATAATTTGAAATGGATTTCTATTTCAAAAGAGCATGATTAATATTGAAACATATCTTTAATAAACATAAAGTAATGAGAGTAAGATAAAATAGAACTAAATATTAAAAAAATTAAATCATTCAAAATATATAAAATTAAGAACTTATTACAATATCATAAATCAGTGAAAGAAAGAAATAGAATTTTATTTGAATAACAAAAATAAAGCATAGTTTATCAAATAGCAATAGCATTAAATTATTTACATAGGTATAATATAATTGATTGATTGAATAGTGTTTAAGTTTTTACCTAAAAAATTGGATGTATAAGATGATTCAAAGTATTTAATAAGTCCAGCATAAACATCAGCAATAGCCTAGAAATGGATTAAGATATAAGAAAACAATAAAAATATCATAAATTAAAATAGAAATGTTACTTTCAATCTCATTCAACTTATAAGAGCACTATTAATTTATAATAACATGGTAGATCAAATAAAAACTACTTTTATTAGCCGTATTATTTATTATTACAAAATTAAAATTGTTAAATACATTAATAATAATAATTATTATACTGAAATATATAGAAAATTTATAGGATTAAGTAAATGATCATTTTACAGCCAAATGCTTTTTAAGTATAACTACAATATCATCAGTAATCAAAACATCTTTGCTTAATTTTAATGGTTTAGTGAATTCTACTGGCCAAAATGAACTACAAGCCTTTTCAGATTCTAATAATCCACAATTCTTATATGCCTTAGCTACTAATTCAGAACAAAAATAAGTATCATTCTTTTTAGAAGGACTTAAACTTTTTTATCTAAATAATTTGCTAATGGTCACTTCATATTTCTTTCCATGAACTTATTATAGGAATTCAATTATCTTTTTTTCAATTTCAATTCTATTAACATTCATCAATTTACGAATAGCTAACCTATATATAAATTATATTTGATATTTACTTTTCATATAAATCATTAACCTCTATAAATTATGACCATTCTAAAAAGGTAACTCCAGTATCAGCATTTGCATCAAAAATAAATAAATATTTATTAGCCATTTTAATAGCAATAGCAACATGATCATATTTTGTATTTGTAAATATTCTCTACAATTTTGCTCCTGTATTATTAGTTTCAAATAATAAAAGATCTCCTGATTCAACTATCTTTAAAAAGTAATCTTCAGAAATCACATCTATTCCAAAATAACGAGGTACTTCTTATATTTATAATCTATTTTTTGGATAATTTCTGTATTTATCAAATACAATATTTAAACTATTTACCCACATTTTAGCTTCAATTATATCTTTAGCTTAATATAATACTGTTTATTAAAGATGTGTAAATTTAATCTTTATTAACTGTTTCTCTTAAGTTATGGTTAATTCAAATTCTTTTAAAGATAAAATTCTTAATAGTTATTATTTCTATTCATCATTATATTCTTTTATTGATTATCTTGTTAACTGAACATAAACTCTTTTATTCTAATATAACCAACCCTCTTTTACTGTTTAATTACCATCCAAATAGATATCAAAATCATTTACATTGTTCTTCTAAATACAACGAATCTAAGCATAATTATTATCATTATACTGGAGATGTTAAAAGTGTTGCTTATTGAGATTTCTAAGAATCTCTTTTCAATCTCTTTGGAGAACATTCGGATGTTAAATAGCAATCTAACATTAAGTTCTAATTGTTTTAAATTGATATAGATCTCTTCCTTATTTCTAACATCTATTTCTATTTTATATATATATATAATATTAAATCACAAAATTTAATTATCACAACTCTCTTTTCTTTTCCTTATAATAATCAATTTTCTTTTGCATTCCCTAGTAATAATCAGATTGCAGACTTTCTCCTTAAATTGCCATATCAATGTAAAATTATTATAAATGAATAATACTCTATTCATACATATTAATCATTTACCTAAATTAATTATTCTCTACACATTTCTCCTTCTTCAATCAGACCTTATAATTCCTAATTTGAAGTTATCTTCTCATCAAATTTATCATAGGTGCAATTAAATTCTAAAGTTTTGCTATCTATTTCAGCTAACTATTTTAGGTGCTTATAAATTTTATGCGACTATTCAATTGACTAATCATTTATATACATTCATGTTTATACTTATACTGTTGAAATATTGTGTTATAATACTTTGTTAGCTGCTGCATCAGTCTAATTCAAAGCATTAAAGGTTTCCTGTTATTGTTTTAGTTGATCATACTTAGGCTATAAGATAGATCTTAGCTTTTAAACAAATACTGGATGAAATATTTAATCTTTTTCCCATCTTTTTATTATTGTATGAGCTTTCTCTAAATCTTTAATGTCATCTACTATACAAAAATCCCCTAATAATCTTTTTATTTTTCCACCAATTGCTTTGAGAAATGGATTATCTTATATTTTTAATTGACTTTCATCTTAAATAATTTGATGGATCAAAAATAAATATATTCTTTTCTTATCTTTTCTTGTCTAAATAAATTCATTTTCAATCATTGTTGCAATTTATTATGCACTTTCTGGA